TACATGCGATATAGAATATGTTGTTACAGAAGATGTACTGCATATACAGGTAAGACTGGTGGCAACTTGTGGACAGAAAACGTAACAAAGAAAAATTATGATGCCAAATAGGCTAAATAATGCTGTGGAACTCCCCTGAACTACAACATGTTAGAACAAGTTATACTGGATCTGAATATTCACTATGAAAAATGTAGGACATCCACCCTAGAAGTGAAACTACAGAGGATGTAAATAATCATCTCAAAGGTTGTTTTTTTTTTTTTTTTTTAATGTCAACTGAAAAATGGACATATATTGAAAAAAAAAAAGAGAAATAGCCAGTTTAGAGACCAATGAATAGATCTGTTAGCTTCCAGTAGTTGTGTAAAGAAGACGACTTCGAACCATCTCAGAGAATTAAAATACTTTCTGCTACAAGATGGCTGTTTGGAGTTGATTATCTCCAATACCCTTCGCTGGAAGTTTTCAAGAAGAGGCTGGATAGACATCTCTCTGAGATGGTTTAAGATTAGTGAATCCTCATTCTGCGCAGAGGTTCTCAACTTTTTTAGACTCATGACATCCCTTGTTAGACTCAAGACAACCCTCAGAAAATATGTCAGCTCTTCAGCTTTCAATTTTTTTTCCTATGGAAAAATAAGAGCAATTCTTTTCTTTCGTTGCCAAGAACTCAGACCACAACAGGTCAGAACAGTCTGGATGCTATGGATCCTATTTGAAATCTCTGACTTCATCTTGTGAATTGCATGTATGGCTTTGCATACCAGACAGTGCTAATACTGCAGGGCACTTTGTAGCACCGTTAAAAGGATCTTAAGACACTGGTTGCGACTCACTGTCCTAGACATTCCAACCCTATGGTTCCTTAATTCAGGAGACAGAAGACTTTCTGGATTCAAAAGCTATCGAAGTTTATAAGGCAAGCTTTAGATTAGTAAGGAAGGAAGTTTTTGTTCTACTTAAAAAGGGAAATGCAGCTTTATTACTAATACTACAAAATAGAAAAAAAGAACTGTTCTTGAACTACTGAGTATTAATGTGCAGTTGTCCTTGGTTCTCAAGCTAGGGCTGGCAAAGCATGTACATGTATTTTACAAAGATAATTCTGTCAGGTATTCACCCATGAGATGCTTCCTGAAAGCTGCAGTTCCAGACAGAAATGCTTTAAAATCTTTACTCTGACCAAATTTCAGTACCCTTTGTGACAACTTCAAATATTTCTTTGCCAGTTGTTCCTAAATATAAATTCAACCATAACTAAATCTGTTGGAAACATGAGAACTGGAATTTAAGACACAACAGAGAAAACTACCTAAAGGGACTAGAACAGTAGGGGGCACAGTAAAATATACAAGTCATGAATGTAGGCAAAGGTTATTTAACAGAAGAAAGGTGAGAACTTGTTACGACTCTGTCACAATGTGGGGCCCCCCACACAAAGCTCGTCATATTCCCTAAATCTTATTTTTATAAGAAGATATCCATTGTCACTACAGTGACTGCTAAAATTATGCTACATCAAACTTTTTCAGATCATGGTTTACTTGGTAATCCTGAAGTATTTCAACCTGCTAGAAACAAGCACTTTCTGTTACTACTATACTCTTCAAAAAAAAGTTAATCTCTCTGAATTGCCCATCTTCAGAGGAACTGCATAACAAATATAATACCCTTCCCCTCCCTCCACAACAGAAATAGGCCCATTCATTCCAAAAGTTGGCCTACAAACATGCAAGAAACTAGATTTCAATTCTAAATGATGGATAAAGTTTAAACTGTCTCATATTTTTGGATTTCTCTGTGGTCTATGATAATGTTAGTAGTTTCTGCTGCTCTGCATTACATTTCAGAATACCATTCTTCCTAAAAAATATCTGTTCTCAGACCGACTAGAATTTGAAGGCAGGAATTTTCCTGGGTATCTGACAATCTGGGCTATTTGCCAGGAGACTGAACCTCATTGTTTTCTGACTCTAAATTTATTTAAACAGTTTTCCTGCTCCATGTCCCTCTACCTTCCTTAGAACAGCATTCCTTGAAGCTGGCAAACCAACCAGTAGAATCACTTCACTCTGAACTCATGAATTATGTATAATATCCCTCTGTAAAAAGAAGAATCTCAAGAAAGAAATCAGTATGATGGATGCCTGTTTTCTCTATACAACAGAAACATTAAGTAAATAGACTAGAACCGGAACCCACTTTCACAGTGAAATGTGGTAGATCTTACCTTCCTACAATATGGACTGTCAATCTATAAGGCAACAAAAGAAATCCTGTAAGAGATCCTGTAAGACTCATGCTTTTGGGATTGGTGAGATGCTCTAATACTATGAAAAGGCTTAGACAGATTAGATAACTTTTACACTGCATGCCTTGATAATTTAATTTAAAATTTAGCCCAGCAGGTTAGTTGCCTTGTATGGGGCCTGGGTATATGCTTGGAACAGGAGAAACTGAAAATAAGATCTTTCGTTTTGAAATACTCAGCTTAAGTAGTTTATCATAATAAATCTTTGTACCTCTGCAGCAAAGTATCTAAATACCAGTGATATGAAAAATCATCATTAAGCATTAAAAGTATTATTATTTGTAAGGCAGAACATGATTATCAGAGGCTATATGATTCTTCTAAATGGACGCTCCATTTAGAAGCCACAACACTCTCCCAGAAGGAAGAAGTGGCATTTTACGTGAACAGTGTGTAACAATATTAGCTAGTTGCAACTCAATGGTAGAGACATGGTAATTGAGTTACTCAGGTGAGGAAACAAAGAACATTAAAAATGCAATTAGAGGCATGTGGTACCTAGAATCTAAAAGAGCAAGAATAAAGACCTCAAAGAATTCCAAAGCTCATATACCTGATGGTAAAAAAGTAGAGCTAAACAAGTGAAAGTGTTTGTAAATCCTAAAGTAGAGAATTCAGAGTAGAGAGCATTGTTCCCCTTCCAACTGATTAATAATTGACTGAGAACTGACTGTTCTTTTTAAACACATTTCTAAACTGTCAGTTACCATGAAATGCAAGTCTCATTTTAGTATCTAAGTGGTTAAAATAAAAACTTGGGGAAATATAAAAGTCTATGAAGTTGCAGTGAAAAATATTAGCTAAAATGAAAGCTGAGGAATCACACAAGAGAACATAATTAAGGAAACCAACTAGAATTCAGTTGAGAAAGAAGGCAAGGACAAACATAACTACAGAAGATTTAAAAGGATCTACACTTGAATACCTACAAGTATCTGCTCAGGAAAAATGCCTGTAACTCCGGAAAAAAACAGGCAAATAGGAACAGTCAAGTAAAGCTTGAAAGAGTTGTGATGAGAAGAAAAAAAGAGTTGTAAATACAATCAAAATCAACAGCACAACAGGAAACGAGAAAATGTTTTTCACTGAAAACAGTGTTGTGGACACCATTCAACTTGCATGACAAAAATTACTCATTCAAATGTACTCCATAATATTTCTAGCAAGAAACTGTCTGAGACCTGTGAGTGAACAAGAGCTGCAATAAATAAAGCAGCTTGATGATGCAGATCAGTCACCTGGCAAAACCAGATTTGTTTCTACTACCTATTTATCATTTCAAATGTCACTGGCATATTTATCCCAGCAGTATTATCCCATCTCCTAGCATGGTGCAACAAATCTTTTGCCAAAAGACTTTACAGAACTTGCCTCAGAGAAATTAAGGCTTACTAATCAATTTCAAGAGCAAGTATGCTGCAAGAAAAACATATGGAATTTCTTCCCTATTTCTTTAGTATAAACAAAAGAACTGCTTTTAATGAAGATCGTGTGGGTTCAATTAGACGAACAAGTTCCAAACCACATCTTGATCTTAACATTTATCTCTGCCAGAATACAGATGAATGAACTACTAGTAGGCATTCTTTCCATCAGTCAGGCCAAGACATTGCAGTTAGTAGTAGAATATGGCTGCTCAAATGGCAGCTATAGAAGTCTGAGCTGTTCATAAACCAGAAAAAAAAAAAAGAACGGTGTACTCAGCAGCAGACAGATGTAATGCTCGATGCAACATACACCAACAGAAATGCAAGACACTGTTTCATATTAATTTAATCCACACTAACAATATATCCAGTATGACTTTCTTTCCTGTTTATCCAACTATTTATATCTCTGTTTATAGTTGAGTATTCTTTTATAAGAAGTTACATTGTAAGTTTAAAAAATGTGTTAATATATAATGTTGAAAAAGATGCATTGAAAGGGCAAAAGAAAACCTGGCACCAAGAAGGCTTTTCTTTAAAAGATATGCGAACACTTGTTTTTAATCTGAAACACACTTGACAAAATATGAATTGTTCTATTATGCCTTTTTAATAAAAACCCAGCAGTTATTATGGATACTTTAAAAGGTATTATCCACATTAAAAAGTCAGTTACACAGCAAACCTTTTCACTCATATGAGGCATTGTGACCACCTGCTTCCCCTCTTCAAGGGTCCATGAATACCATAGTTAGTGGAGCAACCATTTTTATGGCTGTAGGACATACAGAATATGCTTCAGCTAAAATGAGAAGGTAAATACCACAAAAAAAAAAATCAAAATATTTTTACTGGGGTACATTTTATATTGTTTTACTATTAAAAATTTACAAAGGAATAGAGACCCAAATTCTCTTTCATCAATTAGAAAAATAATGCAACAACTTAGTCAAATTAGACTGCAACATATTATATTTCTTTATAAGAATGATGAACTCTCACATTTGAAATAAAGTCATATAAAATTTACCTCTTTAAGATCCTTCTATTTAAACTAAAATGCTCATCATATGTCCAGTAAGGAAACAAAACCTAACTATAGTCAGCATTCCTTAGCTTCCAATTCAGCTGTATGAATAATAATAGCATAAAAACAGATATCATGGATTTTGGTAACTCAAGTTACATTATGCACTAAATTTCAAAAAGCACTATTTCCATTATCAGTCTTCAATAAAACACACATTCATAAAAATATTACAATATTAATTTGCTACAACTAATATTATAATTGAGTCTTAATATTCTTGAGTTACTTTTACAAAGACAAGTGAAAAATGTGAAATTAAGTGCATACTGTATACATGTTTGTCAGGTGTTTGTACACTTTCTTAGGTTATCCTCTGCATCTTCATTCAAGTATGTTTTTTAACAGCAAAAACACGATATAAAGAAACAAAGAATTTATCTATAGAAAACAGGATTAGAAGACCAAATCTCCATGAAATGAAAGGGCCAAGAATACCATCAGTACACATGGGCACAACTAACTAAAAATTTAGGACATTATATTTTCTTATACCAGAACTGTATATGGTTTAATGCTCAAAGTGTTAACAAATCTTTCAATTATCCTATATAGTAAATATCTTACTATTCTGTGACTGAATTTTTAGTTACTGTAACAAAGTGGAAGAGTCCACTTTTAACTTGAGACCAGGGAATATAAGGAGATACAAACATAGTACTCAAGCAGCAGTACATTTTTAAGATATTACCAAAAACGAAAAAAAGAAAAAAAAAAATCAGTTTACCATCAGCTGTGGGCCCATTTTTCAAATCTGATAATTTATTGCTATTCCTTTCAAGTGCTAATTTATGGATTCAGCCTAATTTTAAGAAATTAAATATGAAAACTAGATTCCGTAGGAGAAATCTCAGTCCAATGGACTTCAACAGCTAAACTCTTCCCAAGGACACTGGGGCAAGAATTTCACTCCATATAAAACATAATATAGTTTGAGGCCCAAATTCTGTTAACTGATCTACAGACACTGACTGCATTAAAGCTGCAATGAAAGCAGACTCAAGGCCCATTTAAGTAAATCAGACTAGATTACTGGGGTCTAACACTATAAATCTTTCAAAGCAGGGCGTGGTATTTTACTTGTACATAAAAGGTGTCCATATGCCCATACACACACCTAAAGCACTGTATAAAAAACAAAATACCAAAACTAGTAATCTAAAATCTTTTTCTATGACAGTGCACTATTTGCTGCATTTTATACTACATTAAGAAGAGCATAGTTTTGGCCAAAGTTTACTCATTTCTTGAAGGTTAAGAGCAGTTTTTGCCTACATGTTAAAATGAAAGATGAGTTTAGTGCAGTAATCAAAAACTACTGGACTTACCCTAACTTGTACTGCTTGCACATGAAAGACCCCATGAAAATCCCTATTTATTTTTACTTGGAGTATATCAAGTTACTACATTTATGTTTGTTTATTATGTAGCTATATATGTATATTACATATACATAGCTATGGGTATATATTGATATTATCCTTTCCGAGAGTTATAAAACTGACTGGTTACATACTAATTGATGATGATAATTAAGGTTTGCTCAATTCCACCGTAAATTTCAATTCAACTTTACCTCAAGACATCTGAAAGCGAATGTCTCAGTCCTCAATTCAAAATGTGGATGTCAGTGTCAAGTGTTTTCATGAAATGCATCAAGACTTGACCCTGACAGCTGCATAATAGTTGTTAGTACCATTTTCCTAAAGACAATTGTTATTAACTTACAGATTATTATATTTCATGGACACTTTACGGTAACATAGCAAAGTTTCATTTTAAGACAGATTCACTGGTGCAGCATTATTAAAACAGTAAGATGGAAACCAAAGGGTTAAACAAGGTATTAACTGTTTGATTCTTATTTCACTTAAAACTCAGTTTCATATTGTAGATTAAAATACAAAATACTAATTATCATTTAAATAATAAGCTAATTCTAATTAAAAACAAGGTACTAAAGTATTTACTTTACTATAAGCCATAGAGCTTATACTCAACATTTCTAGGAGAAAACTGCATCCATTTTGTCCATGCTGTAAGTTGCAAAAGTTTGTGAGATTTTCTGAATGTTTTTGCAGTACATAAACCTTTAAAGAAAAAAGTTAACAGTGCAAATATACAATATACTAATAAAAAATACTGAATAGTTAAGAGTGTGTGAAATGTTTTTATTCCCCCATATAAAGGTATTTGTTCTAATGTTTAAATTTATTCAGTATTATGTACAATGTATTTTAGATAAATTTATTAGATATAGCATAAAATTTGAGGGCATTTCACAGAATTGAGATTAATGTTTTACTAACTATACATTCAGTGCTTAATGTACTGGTATCACTTAAAAACGTTTAGTATTAGACATATTCAAAATCTTGAGTGTTACTATAATTGAATATGTCTTATTGAAGTTTTCTTTTAATAAAAAATCAAACTGCTCTTTTTCAATTTTATTAGCATCCGTGTTTACTGTTCTATGTTAGACACAAAACAACCAACCAAACAAAAAAACCACACTTACTCTATTTGTGCTCCATTAGCCACAAGGGCACTTACGGAATCCATACTACCAGACCGTGCTGCTTTATGAATAGGAGTTTCACCAACATAATCCTGTAAAAGTACATTATATTTTGTCAAGTATGACCACTTCAAAAATTGAAGTTCCTAAACATTCATGACTTTAATTAAGGAAATGGACATAGTAATAATCAATTAATGAATGCAATTGCTCCTTTATTAGCATTTTAAAGACTGTGCTGGCTCTCAACTGGATTGAATGTTTCATTTAAAAAAAAAAAATCCTTGGTCTGCCCCTCCCCCGCATACAATGGTCTAATAAAATGCATCACTTGTAATAATCCTTGCCTCTTGGCATTTTTCCTGGACCATCACAGCTACATCACTCCAACATTCTTCTCTTTCACGCAATTTCCATCTCTGCAAAGAGCCTTTAAAGGAGGAATAGACAGTCTAGAGTAGGAATGTAAACTTCATTTACTGGTAATACAGCTGTGATCCATGGGGCATAGCTTCTATTCAGAATAGATCTGTTGTTGGCATTAGGAGGAGGCATGCACAAAAACTGAAGGGAGGATAAGGCCATAAAATTGAATTTCTGTTCTATACTTGACTGTCATATTCATTATCATTAAGGTAACATCAATTGAGTGAACCAACTGAAATTGAATCCAGACAAGGCAGAGTGGTGGGCAAACCACATGCCCTGGGGAGAACTGGGACATGCACCACTGATGTGATGCAACCTCCCATTTTCACTTGTTTGTAGTGGGG